TAAATCGATAAATGGTCCAATTAAAAAAAAAAAAAAAAAGGCAGGCTCATTGCTTCTTGTAAATATTAAATCTGAGTTTTAAATTTCAACGTACAATCAAGGATAGTGATCATCATGTAAACCTCATACTTCAGAAACATGCCAAATGCTATATCCTCTTTAGCATTCTCATAATACTTTTTATAAGAGGCATCATCGGGTTTTGATAGCATGCTAGTGCGAATCTAACGTATGCTGATCATCATGTGTCACTGATTCGGCTCTATTCTCGTGAGGTTTCATCATTGCAAACATAGAGATTTCATACTCTCTATTTGAATCATCAAGCGTATCATAATTTTCAAGGGAGGAGGTGGGATTTGCTCTTCAGCTTGGTGCCTTTGCGCCCCGAAGCTGAAGCCGGGTAAGCCTGGTAATGGCCCAGATATCCTCGTTCTATTCCATATTATAATTGAAGCCTTGGCCACTGGGCCTCTTTGAAAGTACAAAAAAAAGAAAGAAAGGGATGGTCAGAAAAGAGGAAGGAGCAGAAGAACTGTTGGCACCCCTCTGCTTGAACCCCACTTTTTTTTTGGGGCACAGCGCAACTGGGAGCGCTGCGCCCAGTGTGACCAGGCGCGCCCATTCGGAACCTTGCGTTTTCACACGGTAACAGTGTGCTAGTCGTGTGAGCGACTGGTGAGCAGTGGCGAGAGGGAGTGCATGGCAAGGGAGGATGGCAGGGCGGATATGGCGAGGAGCGTTATTAGAGCGCAGTGCCGTCACCTGTGAAGGCAAGTTAGATGACACTCTTGTTAGGTTGGCGTGCATGGATGAGGTGCGTCGGGCGACGCCACATATGCAGGTGGGCTATGGGGGCTGGAGATGCTAGGGGATACTTTCATTAGGGGAAGTGTATTTCGGGGTGACGAGGAAGCCCCAGCTTTGGTGTTCTGGCAGGAAGGGAGGAGCGCACTCTCACGTGGAGTGAGAGGGGGAGGAAGGTCGTTCAAGTGGGAGTACCGGGTCGAAAGGAAGCTGTAGATCAAGGGGTTCCCTTTCTTCCTCAACAGTGTGATAAGTAAAACTCTTGAAGGCTTGAACCTCCTGTGGCGACTCGCCAACAGGTTTGGCGAGGAGGTGCCGCACTGTCTTCTATTCTTCTTGGGGGGATTGAAGATGGCCGTTGAAGTTTTCAGTGCTAGTACTACCGTAGAGCCTAGTGGCTAGCAGTGGGAGGAGGGCGTCTCTCCTTCCCTCTAGACGGTGGGGTAGGGTTTGAGGTGGAAGAGGTAAGGTGGGGATGTTGAGGAAGTGGGGATGGAGCTTTCTCGTTGGTTGATAGTTCTTAGGGTCATGGTCCTGCCCATGGGTGGTTTGGTTTGCTCATAACTCAAATAATTACTACTAACTTCCTGATTTTGATCTGATTTTGATCTAATGGTTGATTGGGAGATTGAATCCCACTTTTGCTTTCTTCTGTGATTTCTCAATTAGTAACTCCGAAGTAGTTGATGCTGTTTAATTCTGATCATAAGAGTCGTATGATCTTTTTTGTCTTGAAATAATTTCAATTCTGTTAAAAAACTCTCAGGTATGATTTGCAATTTCTGAAAAACGTGCCAATCTTGTTTGCTAAATGATTCTCAAACTGCGGTGTGAGAATTGATTCAGAAATCCTTTTTGGGATCAAAATCTATATCAAAATCTATCATTCGTAGGTTTTTCTGGATTATACATGTCCAATTTTCAGTTCTGTATTTGATTCCCTAATTGGAGAATTGAAGTATTTTTGTATTCGGGTTGTATTTTGCTTTTCTTAGTTGTAGGCTAATTCTTTTTACTTTTCGCTTGGTAAACAGAAGGTTTCTGAACTTGAATTCAAATTTTGTGTCTTGAGGAATTTTCGATTGGTTCACAATTTCACTTGGTATACGGTATGGATACACAGGCGTTGATCAGGATTGGGGAGTTTGTGTTTGTGGCGTGTATTACCCTGGAGAGGGAGGGGTGTTGGTTTGACCTTTTCAGGGCCGGGCTGATTTTGGGGTCGGATCAGTCATGGCAGTTGGGGGAGAAGGTCAAGGGGTTTGAGAGGATTGATTTGGGGAACTCTAGTTCTGCGGGGGCATGTGCTGGATGTGGTAAGGAAATTGTAAGTCCCTGAGGGAGTTGGACTGACCTGGAGGAAAGGGTAATTAGGGTGGAGCAGAGGGAACTGTAGTTCTGCGGGGGATGTGCGTGCTGTGGTAGGGGGAACTGTAGTTCTGCAGGGCATGTGCGTGCTGTGGTAAGGAAGTTGTAAGTCCCTGAGAGAGCTGGAGCGACCCAGGGGAAGAGGTAATTAGGTGGGAAAGGAGGGAGGGGGAACCCAGTTCTGCGGGGGCATGTGCATGCTGTGGTAAGGAAATTGTAAGTCCCAGAGGGAGCTGGAGTGACCCAGGGGAACGAGCAATTCTGGGGTGCTTGGGTGTTCCAAAAAAAAGAAAAATGATGATGTTCTGCCGGTCAAAAATCGAGGTGAGTGGGAGAAGTAGAGGGTGGGATATCAAGTGTCCTACTAGTGAGGAGGCTAGCTCGTAGGATGGAAATAGGGTACAGCAGCAGCGGAGATGGTGGCTCTGCTGCAGTAAGTCTTGCCGGAGTGAGGTAAAGGGGATTGATGGGGGGTTCTGAGTCGTTTTCTGAATTTTGCCTATGTCCTTGTTTTCTTAGCCATACTTCCAAACCATCTGTAAATTTTTCATATGGGACGCTGCAGCACATGCTGCTCCCGAGCTAGATCATGGTGGTGGTTGTCAGTTGCGCTAGCGCTAGCGCCCCGACGCTGGCGGACCGGTAGGGCCCGGTCATCCCGGCTCGACTAGCGCCTGGGGAGAACAGCTCCCCGGCTGCTGGGCCTGCGCACGTGCCCGATAGGTGCGACGTGGCTTGTGGCCACGTGGCGCCTGTTGTTTGGAGACACTGACGTCCCGTGACACGTCACCAGGGGTAGCAACAGCCGTGGGATTACAAGGGGTTCAATGAAACTGTGTGAGTGGCGCAGCTAATGGGGGAAGAGATGGATTTGGAAGGGGAGCTACAACATCAAGTAGAAGAATGGATTACCACACTGGAGGAGGGATGCAAGCAGATGCAAACGACAGTGCGGTTGCTTATGCAGTGGCAGCAAGAAGGGGGGGAGATCGATGGGGGAACAATCTCGATGGACCAGTGGTTGGAAGATAGGATTCAGGAGTTGTTAGACATCATGTGGGAGCTGGAGGAGGGGCTGGATCCCCAGCTCGATGTCTACATCGACTGGAGGCGGGCGGATGACAGGTTGGCTGCTTGCAGAACCCTCTTCACATTGGGGCGAGATCTACGCAATCAGTTGGAGTATCGGTATGGATTGCTGGCAAGTGAAGATGATTGCGGCGAAAACACAAATAACAACAGCAACATCAGCTACAGTGACATCAAGGATGGGGATGGTGTCAACAACAACAATGATGGGGGGGGCGATGTTCAAGGCTGCACCATGACGGGAGTGATACTGCAGGTGGACGTGGAAGATAATGGAGACGTCAACAACAACAACAACAACAACAACAATATCAACTTGACAACTACAACAACAATAACAAAAACAAAGGTGCGCAGGGATTGGGATTGGGCGAAATGGGCGAAGGCGGTGAGAAGGATGACAGCAACATTAGCAACGATGTCGTGAACAACAACGACGACAACAACAACAACAACAACAACAACGGCGGTGACGAGGGCGGGGGCGACGCCCACGACAGCAGCACGAAGGTTGTGATGCTGCAGATGGACATGGATGATAAAGGTGGTGACGACAACAACAACAACAACATCAACAACAACAACAACAACAACATCAATAACAACAACAACAACAACAACAACAACAACAACAACAACGATGATGATGGGGGAGGCGACATCCACTGCTGCCGCATGAGGGGAGTGATACAACAGATGGATGCGGATGATAGTGGAGACGACAACAACAACGACGACAACAACGACGACAACAACAACAACAACAACAACAACATATACTACAACAACAACAACAACAAAAACGTTGACGACGGAGGGGGCGACGTCCATGGCAGCAGAATGATGGGTGAGATATTGCAGGCAGACGCGGTTGGAATGGGGGTGGACACGGGAAACTAATTTTCTGACTTCCTCCTTGTTATATTTTGTGGCCTCGATATGGAGTTGCTTCTCGTCGTCTGCCAGAGGATAGGAGTAGGTTAGTCAGTGACGATTGGTGTTGCCCGGCCCGCAATACCAATCAACACTGGGGTGGTGATCTCCTCGCGGGATTGGTGGTGGGCAGTTTAGGGGCTGGAGTGCAGGAGGACGAATACATTGTATCCTTTTTTTTTTTTTTTTTAAACAGCCAAGCGGGAGCTAGGGGTGCTGATAAGAGCAGACACCGCTAGCACCGCCGGGGAGGCTCCATCTATTGGTGGGGAGCAGCATCTGCTGGAAATCGGGTCCAGCGTCCCTGAACATGGTACTTAATCATGTGGTCAATCATGCATTTGTGTGAACATGAAGCTGCCAAGCTACCACTCTACCAATCTGACCTGTTCTAAATGAACTTTAATGAAGTTCATTCAGTAGAGGTACACAATGGCCTGAGCGGCCTGCCTATCAGATCTCCCTTAGTGAGAGGTGGTATGCCCCATTGACACGACTACCGCTAAAAAAAACAACATGCTTTTGTGGTGACAGTCGTTATGATGCCTATAAACTAGTTTCGTGATTACACTTTGATAGGTGTAGATTACGGACATATATAAACAGTTTCTGACTGTTGGATAAATCACGTCATTGGTAGAACACTTCGACTGAAGGTATTGATCCCTCAGATTGTTGCAGAAATTCCATAGTCTACATAGTTACACAACACGATATGGGGATGCTGGACCCGATTTCCAGCAGATATAAATCATAGCATCAGCAGTACACATCTCATCATGGCTAGGGTTTCGACTGATTGGATTGATGCCTCAGATTGATGTTGAGATTCTATAGTTTACATGTATAGGGACGCTGGACCTGTGTTCCGACAAATACATTCACACCATTGCATAAGGACGATGGACCTGATTTCCAGCAGATACATTTCATCATTGTAAAGCGATGCTGGACCCGATTTCCACCAGGTGTAGCTCCCCACCAATAGATGGAGCCTTCAAAGCTAGGGCCTAATTAACGGGGATGCTTTTATCACCTCGTTAAGTAGGTTTCCTGTATACAAAGTTCAAAAAA